TAAGAAGTATGATGCCTTACATGAACATGGTAACAACATTGAGAACATTCGTAATATTTAACCAGGGCGAGTAGTAGTTTTGCCGTCATCTTATTTAGGAAGTCCTAGAGCTTTAAAAGAAAACTTTAAAGATGCTATGGCAATTATTAAAAAGTATGGTAAACTAGATTATTTTATTACTTTTACTTGCAAACCAAAATGGTGTGAAATTAAAAAAAATTTATATTTGGTTACTAGAGTATTTAAACTCAAATTAAATAACCTCCTCAATGATATATTCAAACATGGTGTATTGTTATGGTGAGGTTATGCTTTATATTTTGATTAAATAAAATTCCAAATATTTATAATTTTTACTATAATTTTCTATTTGTTATTTTAGATCAATTAACATTCGAAATGTATAAAAAATATCGCTCCACCCAGGGCCTCTTTTTTTTGTAATTCTTTTTTTTTAATTGTAATTTTTTGTTTTAAATTTGTATTTTTTGTTTGTTTTTAATTTGTATTTTTTTTTTAATAATATATTCTGTTGTATATTTGATTTGTTTTCATCTTTTTTAATTAAAATGAAAACTAAATTAAACTCAAAATACAGTTAAATTGATTCATTATCCAATTATCATAGTATGATGATGCTACATTTAATTGTTAAAAATATTGCATTCACTGCTTTTAAAATTTACTATTAGTCAAGACAATATATTTAGCTATACAAATGCAATTAATTTATATCTCAATTTGATTTTTTATCTTAAATGTTTATAGTTTAGCTCCTTAAAGCATTTTATTTTGTTTTTTAATTTAAATATTTTAAATATATTGTGATGTCTTCTAATATAAACTAAAGTTTACCAACATGAAAGCCAACATTAAATAACATCATTAAACAACACCGACAAGAACTGCTGCATCATGACAGCAACTGAAGTATGATAACAGGTTACAATATAAAATATCAATATTAACATTTTTAAAAAAAATTTGTTATACACATGTTTGATTGTAAATTATTATATATTTTTTTGAAACGTATTTGTATTCAATTGCTTAGCTATTTCAAGGACGTATTATTAGATGGACGTTTAACGTATTGTTTAAAAGCCAAGATATCCACGCTATTGATTGTTACAAATAACAATAGCAAAACAATAGTGAACAAATGTTAACTATTTTAAACTTGAGAATATTTTTACTTGATTTTGCGTCAAAATAACGATAGTCTCGCTTAGCTTAAGAAATATTTAAACATTCCATAACACCTAAAAACTCTAAAAAGTATTTAAGTAAATAAAACCTTTTTTATTATATGATCTATAAACTCAAGCGAAATCTTTACATGGAAAAAAAAAGTTAATCACAGAAAAATATTAAAACAACAAAATTTCGGACAAAAATGAGAAATTTAAATACTTAAAATAATAGTGAAAACTAAGTATAGAGAATAAAGGCCTCAAGTAATCTATTGTTTAATTTATATATAATCTCCAGTTTTACCTACAACATCTAGAAAATTCGTTTCACTTTGCAGTATTCGTTCTTGCAAACTAAATATCATTTTTTTACAAAAATTTGATTTTTAACGTCTAAGTTTTATTAATAATAAGTTAGTTTTGAAGGTAATTGTACTTTTTAACAAAAGTAGTTAGAAAAGTGAAATTATGTGAAAAACGTTGGTTTACTTTTATCAATTATTCAGAAAAATGTCGCTAAAAATTATAGCTCACATAGATTTTTATTTACTTCGTCCTTGGTTATTTATAATATACTTAGTTATTTTTGATAAATTTATATAGTTAAGTGCATTTAACGTTCTTAAGATAATAAACTTTCTTTTCTAATTTAACCTGAGAGGGGATACCAAAAGTTAATAACTCCTGTATAATATAATACAAGTTTAATTCATGGTAATCTTAATAAATAATTAAGGTTTATGTTATAAAAAATATTACAAGAATTGTTGATATTTTAAAGGAAAATTGATATTTTAAAGAATGGCGAAGTGTTATTATTTTGTGTTGAACTTAGGAATGTCGCTAAAAATGGTTCTGCCTTACACTGATATGACTTGTCACTTGTAAAATACTCCAATGTGTTAAATAATAACTGGTAAATTATTTTACCTCCTCATACTTATTATGTTAATTTTACTGAGAGATAAATTTGGTCAATTTAAAGGTGTTTTTCTAAAAGGTCATTAGTTAACTTTAAATTGTGGAAAACAGCCACTATAAATTAATTATGTAAAAGACCGACCATAACCCGTATTACAGGTTACTTTTTGCTAGTTTTCTATTATTGGGTCATAATTTTATTTTTTATTATTGGGTCATTATTTTGTTATCTTTTATTATTGAGTCATCATTTTGTTATTTTTTATTATTGGGTCAGTCATCATTTTATTTTTTAACTATTATTGGGTCATCATTTTTTAAATTTTATTATTGGATCATCATTTTGTTTCACAAACTGTTGTACTCAACCATACACAGGAAGGGACATTTAATATTTTATGAAACATCTCCCCTTCCTTCCCCATTCTGTTAATTAATTTTTACTTACTATCAGCAAAACACCTCAAACTAAAAAACAAATTTTATATATATATATATATATATATATATATATATATATATATATATATATATATATATATATATATATATATATATATATATATATATATATACATATATATATATATACATATATATATATATATATATATATATATCACGGAAATATACTTTCAGTGAAATGAAGTTTTAAAATTGTAGACTTTTACTCATGCTTTTATAAAAAAAAAACTCCCCCATTTATAAGATCTATATCAAAAATTCATCTCCAAAATACAGTATCGGACAAAACAAGTGCAACCAAATAATGCTAATTTAGTTTCTTTATATAAAAGTGCTGCATTTTTTCAATTTAGAGAAATAAATATGTAATTGTTTAGGGACAACGTTCTTCAAATTTTATTCATCACAAAGTTCATTATTTGTACACGAAAGTTAATAAATCAATCAAAAGTATTAAAAAAAGTTGATTTCCTTCTGGACAAAACAGGTGCAACTCCACAAAATGTTGACCAAGCTGTATTACGCTATCAATATTTCATGGCAAATCTTTTGTTGTTGATCATAGCCTTGCATCTTCGAGGCAAAGATTCGATCAGGTGATCAATGAAACTTTGTGGAATCCATGCCCAGGCCTTTTGGATTTGTTCAAACAGCCGATCCTTATTACAAACACCTTTACGATTAATTCTGCGGTTGACAATCTGCCACAGGTTCTCAATAGGGTTGAGATCCGGAGATTGAGGCGGACAATCCATCACCGATAGGTGGTTATCTTGAAACCACTGCTTGACTACTTTTGCAGTGTGTTTCGGATCATTGTCTTGCTGAAAAACTCATTTTATTGGCATATTCCATTCAGCATAAGGTAACATAATATCTTTCAGGATATTTTTATACATAAAGCGATCCATTATTCCATCGTTTCGATGTATTGGAACTTGACCAAAAGCAGAAAAATACCCCCAGACCATTACATTGCCTCCACCCTGTTTCACGGTCTTATGGAAGTAATGTAAATCGACGTACATGGCAAATGCCATCGCTCCCAAAGATGTTAAATTTCGATTCATCACTGAACAGGACAGTTTGCCATTTCTGCACATTTTAGTCAATATGAGATGTAGCAAACAGGAGTCTTTTCTTGTGGTTCTTTAGTGAAATCAGCAGTTTCTTTGCAGGGCGTCAAGAAAACAATCCGGCTTCAACAGCAAGTTGTCTGATTGTTCGGTCTGATACAGGCAGCTCTAGTTGCTTTTGTATCTCAACTGATGATATCCAGAGATCCTTCTTGACGGATCTGACAATCATAAAATCCTCTCTAGAAGTGGTGGAACGCGGTCTTCCATGTTTGTTATCTGCTGCCAACTTCCCTGTAGAACTATATTTGGAACATAGTCTTGATATGGTCCATTTTTCAGACGATATTTATCACAAATACTTTTTTGTGACATTCCATTTACGTAATCGCCAATAACTTTCTTTCTTAATTCCATTCCAAGACTGTCGGGAGCCATTTTTGCACTTGAAGTCATAAAAATAATAAAAATAAATAATCACACTTCTCAAGACTTACCATGTTACATTCTGCATTACTTCTGCATGCTTTTGGAAACTTCTGGATACTTCCTTTAATTATTAAAAAACTTCCGTGACGTTGACACGGACCAGGCTTAAGAAAATGAAACAAACCAAAAAAGTTGCACTTGTTTTGTCCGCTGCAAAATGGCACTTGTCAACGAAATTCTGCCTGTTTGCTGTCACTTTATATGTGGTAGTGGTGTAGTGGTAAGAGCGCTTGCTTTGTAAGCGAGAGGTTCAGAGTTTGACTCCCACCATGTCCCTGGAAGTACCGTGCTCAACTTAATTTCTCCGCGCAGCTGCCTTGTTTGTCAAGGTTCGTGTTTTGGAGTTAAAGAGTTGAGAGAGGGTTGTACCACGATTTACAACAAAACAAAAAAATAATAATAGGAACACTTTTTAGCATTGCTCGATGTTGGTTGCAAATGTTTTGTCCAATACTTACAACTCCAAAAGTTGTTAGATACCAATTTACATTCTCTTCTACTAAAACTTTAATTACTTAGTTATGTTATAAAATTAAATTATTAAAGAAAATCAGAGGGAGTTAGCAGAATGATCACCCCCCTTTTATATTGAGGCTTTCTATTATGTTAATGTTTTGTACTTTTTATTATAAACTATATTAGTTTATGAATATGTTCCACTAGTATTTAATTTATGTCATATAGAATATTTTCCACTAGCGTTTAATTTATGTCATTTAGAATATGTCTTACTAGCACTAAACTTATATCATTCAAAATATATACTAGTTGCTTTAATAATCTTTAAAAATTAAAATTAAAAAAAAAAAATTTAAATTGCTTCTTTTAAATCTAAAAAAAAAATAAAATGTATTACCTCAAGATTATGGACAACTTTTTTGAGCACCTTCATATCTTTTAAAACAGCTTCAACATCAACTTCTTTTAACTGCTGATAGCAGCAATTTAATTCTTGCTTTAAATTTTCATTTTCAGCTAATAATTGTTCATATTTATTGGGCAAAATGTTTGCATTCATATAATCTGAATCTGCTCTTTGATCTTTACGCTTCAAACCCTCAAATTGGTTTTTCATCAATATTGAGTCATTCTTTCCCAAATAGGCCAACGGAAGAGGATAATGAATCTGATCAAACTCTACAGTGTATGTCATGATCAAATATCTTTTGTATTTATTTTCACCACTGTTGGTTTTTTTATGGTAAACTTTGCTGCCAATCTTTTGTTCTCTTAAAGCATTTAAATCATCAAATGTCAAAAGATCAAGAGAAACAACATCAGTATTCTAAAAGAACAATTGCCCCTGATTGAATTTTATATGATTATGCAATTTATTTTGTTTAATCATTGAGCTTATCAAAAAAATATTTTATATACTTTTTAGATTTTAAAGGATTAAGAATAATCTCTAATCTCAAATAAAATAAAGAACATTAACTAAAATGATACTTAATTCAAATCAAAGCTTCAATTAATTTTTATGTTTACTTGGATAATTTTTTATTAATTCATTTCTTAAGGTTTATTTGGATAGTTTATTCAGGTAATGCGGTGTAAGTGTAGATATGAGCACTTTTGATTTGTAATCAAGAAGTTTTGAGTTTGATCCGCACCACATCCCTGAAAGAACTGGGTTCAACTTGTTTCTCAGCTACCTTGTTTGCCATTTCAGAGTTTTTTTTTCAGAGTTAAAAGGTTGAATAACGTTTTTAACAACAATTTCAACAGTATTTTTTTTTACTGTAGTGGCTCCTGTGGCCTTGGGAATTTGCCTTTAGGGTTCAGTAAAAAAAATTAAAGTTAACATATCAATGTGGACCAAAGACATAGCCAGGTTTCACATTGTGGCAATCAAATTAAATTCCTTTTATTGTATTGTCCATATTGTTTCAGAGAAAAATTCTTACTAAAATCAAAATGCTATTATATCTTTTTAGATAAAAATATATCGTAAAATTGTAATAAAAATTCCTAATTTCTTGCCAGATCCCAAATAAAAATTAAACATTAAAAATCTTTCTAAAGTTTCATTTTTATAACTGGTCATATATATATATACATATATATATATATATATATATATATATATATATATATATATATATATATATATATATATATATATATATATATATATATATATATATATATATATATATATATATATATATATATTTGAATATTTTGCATTAAAAATTAAAACTATCTGTATATAATAACTATATTTAAATGTTAACAAAAAATTTTAACAAAAAGTTATAATTATTAGTTGCAGTAAAACAAAAGTAATCTTTCAAGACTCAAAAGAAAGACTCAACTCAAGGTGAATGGGGTTAAACTTTTTGCTTTTTTAGTTCTAGTTTTTAGTTATTATTTTTACTTTTTTTATTTATTAAATACAACTATATAAGTTATCATAACTGTAAACCCACCAGGGCAGCAGCAATATTGCAGAAATATTGTTCTCTTCAAGCTGAGCAGGTAAAAAAAAATTTTAAGTTTATAATACAAATTATTAGGGATGCAAAGATGTCTACTTTTGTATTGATAAGTACAATCCAATACCAATACATCAGCTACATATTTAAATTTACATTTATAAATTTGCTCAAATTTATGGATTTTATTTTATTTTATGTTTGTATACAAAATAAAAGTGCAAAAGTAAAAAAAAAGTTACTTTAAAAACTTTTTTCAAAAAGGTTCCAACCTGCTTCATTGAAGTGGATACTATATAAATATCAACTTTTTAAATTACCTCAGAAGTGCAAGATATACTTGTAATTTAAGAAGTTGCTACTGATAGATATAGCACAGAGAACTCTAAACTTATTTAAAATGATATTTTCACCTGAACTTTAATCAGTTTAACTTGTGTTTAACTTAAATGGGAATGAATACGGTAGCCTTTTTAATTAATGTACGTTTCAAAACTAATTTCAAGGGATTAGTTAAAACACAACAAGAAAACAACAAAATTAAAAAGCTCTGAGAAAGATAAAGTCAGTGAAAGGATAATCCTTCTCAGTGTAAAGATGCTTGAATCTTTTGTGCTTGTTGTGGTCACTAGCACAAAAGATTATCCTAGATTAACAGAACTTGCTAAAAGTATTTTATTTCTTGCCGGTGACAGGGTACATATAGAATAGCTACTTTTGAAAGTATGTAGAATTAATGAGGAATTCACAATCATTTGCTATCAAAAAACAATGAAAATTTTCTTATCATAACCTACCACCTTGGATTTAAAGTATGAAAAATGTGAAGTATTTTTTAAAATTTAAAAAAAAATAGTTATTAGTAATCTTCTTTTATGTGTTTTTATTTTTTGTCACTGGTATTCAGTATTTGGCTGAATACCAAATAGTAAAACACCTGAATATACCTAAATAAACCGAATACTGAATAGTCACTGAATACTTGTGACATCTCTAATTTTAACTACTTTAAATCTCTGTGTGGAAACTAGGGGTGTACCAGATCGGAAATTTTGAATTCCAGCCGGAACTGGATTCACCAGAAATGTTAATAAAATTGCGGCCGTAAATATGGCCAGAACAAGAATTACACTTGAGTAACTTGTTATCTTCAAGATTTAAAGTGAAAGCCTGCACCTCAGCATTGTGACTACGTAATATTTATTTATAACCAACAATATATATATTTTTTTAACATCTTCGCTGCCAACAAGGCTGCAAGCAACCACTATTAATGGTTGCTTGCAGCCTTGTTGGCAGCAAACCTTTTTTTCCAAATATAATAAAAATACAGTAAAAAAAAAAAGAAGATTATTTTAAAGAGTTCTAAAAATTTTTCATGACTTTTAATGAAAATTCAATGACTTTTTCCATGGTCAAATTCCATAACATTTTTACCATTAACTATTGATTGTTAGTACAGTGAATATTTAGAAAATAAATCTGTGTAACTATGCATAATAGACTTTATAAACTGCATCAAACTTTGTAACTTGATCTGCATACTTTAATTGATCAACTCGTTCTTCCAATTAAACTTAATTTATGAACTTGTTTCTTAACTTGGAAATGTTTTGCTAGATATCTGGCCAGGATTTCATAATTGGCTTAAGTGAAATTGAAAACTGAATTCAATGAAGCAATAACAAATATAAAGAATTTATTTCTTTTCACCACATTAAATTTAGATAAAAAAAAAAAAAAACTTTTTTTTTCATAAACATAATGGATTGAACTGCTTTGCCAATAAATTATTGATTTCAATTAAATTTATGACAGCAAAATTAATTAGATGTTTTTTGTTACGCTATACTGTAAATATGTCAACTTTCAAGGGCCAAGTTAACTAAAATTTAACAGATCCCAAACATTTCTTCAGAAAAATAACAAACTTGATGCCACAAAAATTATGATGTAATGTTTACTGAGCATACTCTTACAATTAACATGTTTAAATATTACTTTTATAAAAAAGCAGGTAATTCAGGTTATACAAATACAATATTAAAATATTTATTGTTATATTGCAAAATTTTTAGAAAATAAGTAAAAGCATTTTAATACTTTAATCAACTTCAGAACCCTAAAAAAATATGCGCACTTTAAAATCAAACATTTCTTATTGACATTTATGGTCTAAAAAGTTACTAGTGTTTATTTAAAAACAGATTTGTCCAACAAGGTTCTATTTAATGTTTTTTATCATTTTTTTTTGCTTGTTTTTTATCCCAAATTGTTTAGAGGATTGAATTTAAAAAAAAAATGTCTTTATTCTAAAATTCCATTTTTTTATGTTGTTTTATATTTATATCAATGGATTGTTTTTTTTCTTCACTTTTTACGTGAAAAACTTTTTAATTTCTTTGTTTAAAGCATTGGCCCTAGGCCGATGTTATAAACAAGTAAACAAACCAACAAATAAATAAAGCTGATACTCGCAAAACCAGATTAACTTAAAAAAAAAAAAACCAAAAACTTAAACTAAAATAAAACCAGGTTAATTTGTAGAACTTTTTTTGAAAAGATTTTTTTAATTTAAAATTTTTAAATCAAAATCAAATAATAAAACACCTTTATGATACATTGCGCCACCCATACTAACCTATCTTCAAGTTAGTTAACTAAAATTATATTAATGGTAGGACAAACATTTTTAGAGGTTATTCCTCCAATTGGTCAAAAAAAATGTTTGACCAGATAGAGAAACAATACTACACTTCTTTAAAAATTAAATAGTAAAAATACAAGTCATGTTAATTCCAAAAACTATTTGACATTTTTTTACACCAATGATGATTATTTCATGATATTTTGTCATGCAAACAGAAATTTTAAAAGCGTGATAAGTAGATACCAAATTTAAAAATAATTTAAAAAAAAACAGCAGAATTTTTATAACTTATGTTACTACATCTTTAAAGAGAATTTGGATGATGGCTTTAAAGAAAAAACGTAATTAATTAATAAGTCTTTTAAATTTTATTTAAAAAAGGATAAGCAAAATAAGGCTTGTTCAGAATTATCACTATCACTTTTTCTTTCTAAATCTGATACTGTCAATACAGAAAGTTTAATAAAAACTTTTTGTATCAATAGATTTTTTTTGTTTCTCTAAATAATGATGAGGTGCAAACCCTTTTTATTTTATCTTAAACCATGCATATAATTTGAGATGAACTTGTCAATGCTGCATTCTTCTTCTCCTCTTTGTAAAAGAGATTCAAGACAATAACAAAATAGTTTGTGTCTGCGCTTCCGCATTTCACAATAATTACACCTACCATAAATAATTTTTTCTACATTTTAAAAAATTTTCATAAAAAAAAATTTTTAACAATAGGAAAATATAATTTTTTAAAACAATAGCTCAATAAAAACTTCAGTACCCCCTGCCCCCTACTCTATTCTTTAAAAAGACTTTCAAATATGTAACTACTTCTGCTATTTTTTTATCATCAAATGTACTCTCAGGGTTCACCAGTCAAAAAGATATGCCTAATAGATAAACTAGATATCTTTGAATCATAAATCCATTCTAACTGCTATACTATTAATTGTATCAGTATAAATATGTTGCACTGATGCATTAGTTTTATAGAAATTTTGTTAAGTAAAGTTTTGATAAATAGAATTGTCGTCTTTTTTAACTATTCTTTCATAAATTTTTTGTAGTTAGTTAAATAGTCTTCTTTGTTGAAATTTTGTACACCAAACTACTTAAGAGAGTTTTCCATTGTCCAATTAAAATGTTGTACTATGTGGACAGCTATTGCTGGATCTTGCTAGTAAAAACTCTTGCTAGAAAAAA